CAAGTAGTTATTTTACAGCATCTTACTACATACATGGACAGTGACTGTGAAGGGGTATGTTGGGGGGGACTTGGTGAAGAGGGGAGCCTAGTAAACATAATGTCCTTCATTTAATTGTAGATTAATGATACCAAAATAAAATAAAATAATAAAAATAAATAAATAAATAAACAAATAAACAAACAAATAAACAAATAAGTGAACTGTTATTGTTCTACTTTCATCGGGATCTCTGGCAGGAGAGCCCAGCTTGTAACTCCTCTTTTTCTCCTCACTTCCACATGCAATCTTTTACTCAGCCTCACATTTACAAAGTCAAAATTTTGAGTATTTACCATCTTTTCTGCAGCCACAACCAAGTCTTCTGGATTTGACTTTAAAGTTGAAATCCAGTGAACAGTACTTACATTACTATGGCCACATGAATATTGGTCAAGCTCAGGCCAAATACTGAACAAGATGACACTTTCTTCTTGTGTTCAATCCCACAATCCAGGAGAATGTTTCAAACATTAAGGTCAATGAGGTTGTATCAATAAATACAATCATGTCATATTATACCTTGCTTTTCATTTACATCAGAATTTCTTCTTTGATTTTGGAATTTTCCTAGAGATTCTGTTTTTCTGTCTTCTTGTGCTCTTACCTATATAATATCTTAATTTTTTTTCAAGTTATCATTCATAGCATTTCTTCCCTTCAAGCCCCATTGTACCTCCTCCACCAATTAGAGCTCATTAGTTCCAGGATTGCTCCATAGTTGTCATCCTTGGTACCTCCAATCATTGATCTGAGTTAGATCCATGATTTCGTGGTTATTTTGTCTTTTCCTGATTTGCTCCCACATTTTCTGGAATACAGCCTCTATTTTCTAGGTAAGGGTGTGTGCAGGCCACACTTGCATGTCAGAATATGTCTTTTTCCTGCCCTCACTCTTTGGGATAGTTTGGCTAGTATAGAATTCTAGGTAGAAATTCTTTTTTCCAAAACTGTGTAGGCATTTCTCCTAGGATTCAGTGTTATTGATGAAAAGTCTGTAGTCACTTTGATTCTTATTCCTTTGAAGATGAATTGGCTTTTCGCTCTAGAAACTTAAAGCATCTTCCCTTTATTCTTGATGTTTTATAAATAAATAAATAAATAAATTTTATTCTGAAATTTCATGAAGAACGATCTAGATATGGATGATTTTTCATTCATTATCTTGAGCATACAATAAATACTCTCAGAATGGAATGCCTTCAGTTTTTTTCTAAGATATTTTCCCTCCTTCCATTTTATTCAGATTCATATTCTAGATTCCTAATAACCATGTGGTCCTTCTGGATTGATCCTCTGTATTTTTTATATTTTCTCCTTGATTTTTTTTTCATCTTTTTGCTCTATATTTTTGGACAATTTTTTCTCAACTCTATATTTTAATCCTTCTACTTAACATTTTATTTTTGCAACCACATTTTTACTCACCAAGAAATATTTAATGTTCTTTGGTTTTTCCTTTTGCATATGACATCCCATTCTTCTTTAATGAATATCTTGTCTTCTTGAATCTCTTTAAGTATATCAGGTAGTTCTCTCTGTACTCTGAATTATCTCTGTTTCCCCAGTGTCAGGTTTTTTGCTTGTTTGTCATGCTGCTGGTTCTCCTCATATACATAGTGACCATGTAACGCTGTATAAATTATACTACTTTCCTCTAGGTATTTCTCAGGATGGAAATTCTGCCTAGACATTCTTTGCCAATCAGGCTAAGATACACCAACTGAAAGGCTTCAGTTAGAGTGGGGAGGTTGATGGTCAACTGTTTGACTGTGGGTCACCCCAAATACTAGAATAAGAAACATTTATTCTGGACCAACAACATGCCTACGAGAAACCTTAACTTACCTCAGACAATTAGTTCAATTTCTTTGGAGACAAGATGTCTAATGGAAATGCCTTCTGAGTGAGGAAAAGCAGACAGATCATCAGACAATGCTGTTGACCTGTCTTGCAGGCTTTCACTCATTTCCAGTTTTTCAGTCCCACCTCTCCCACTCCCCTTTACTTGCTGATCGAGGACCTTGTCTCTCCTCAGCAGCCTAAACATCTAGGCTTGGCTAACACACTCCCCTCCATCTTTGCTCTCTTACTTCTTTTTGGATTCTCCACTTTTATTTCAATGCGATCGGAGACAAAGGAGTATGCCTGGCCCAGAATCAGTTATCCTGTTTTATGTCTAACTGTTCCACACATACAGAGCCCTGATAGACAGAGGCTTATGGTAATGGCTCATTCATCAAGCTCAGTGGAAACTGAAGAATATTTACTGACTATAAGGGTTATGTCTCAAACATAGGGCTTGCATGTTTGTCTCAGAGCTCTTGCTTCAAGGGCCTTGGCCTCAGAGCTGGTAAATTGAAGAAGGAAACTGTGCTACTCCAAAAAAGCCCAAGCGTTGCCTCTGCGTGGATCAGGCTTTTGCAGTTGGGGAATCTCTCTGGTCGCCTGAAGGAAGGGGGTTTATGGCAGTGACAGACCCCATAGCTGACAAAATCAAGACCTTGCTCACTGAAGGTTGGATGAGAAGAGCCAGATTCTCTGAGAACTACACACAAACCCTCTTTAGGTTTTCTTTAGTTCTTCTCCTGGCTCAGACAAGAGTCTCTGGTGCCAATTTGCATCTCACTCTTCCTTCCTTGACTTTTTCTTCTGTCTTTGACTCTTGCTCAGGAGTGTCACAAAATCCTTTTCCACTGCATCATTCTTTTCTTCATGTCACTTCTATGCCCTCAAATAACTGTAACCATAGCTATTAGGCACAGGATAATGCCAGAGAAAGCCTTGTATCAAGGAAAAAGGGAAAATCACATGCTTGAAGTAAAATTAAATTGAAATCAATGTTATTAAGTTTGTAGATCCTGAAAATGATCAGAATTCCTTCCATGTTTTCCACCAAAGTCTCTTGGGCTTTTTCCTCCTCCTTGTATTAAATGTCAACCACTAGAATCCCAAATCAAGCTTTTGTTCATTCAGTCATTCAAGAAATATTTATGTCAACATGAATATAATCAAGTCATTAAGAAATAAATATGACTGTTTGCCAGACACTGCACTAGGCTCCAAGCATAAACAGAGGACAAGACAAATATGGTCCTTGCCCCCTAGGAGCTTTCAGTTTAATCAACCAAGAAATGTTTATTAAGCATCTATTATTTCCAAGCCATTGCTGTAGGTCGAGAAAACACATACCCTCACATAGCTTACGTCTACATTAACGTGACTATTCCACTGTCTTCATTGGCACAACTGTTATTCCAAGAGACTTTCACCCAAGGAGATGAATGTTACAAGTTAACTTTATTGCTTATTACAGGATCTTCCTGAAAGCATCAACAGAAAGCATCAACTAACAATTTGTACCCTAAGACCGTGTGAACCCTTTACCTCAAAATCTTCACTTTGCTGTGTTCACTCTAAGTGATTACCATGACCCTTACCCAAACCTAATCAGCTTTGCTTTTCCATCAGCACTGGAAAACCCTGCCTTAAACCATACTTCAAAGTCTCAAAAACATGATGGCCTTGCCCATCTTCCTTGTGAGGCATTGTCGGACTGTCAAGTGGTAAGCAATAAGCTTGGCTTTGTCTTATCAGCAGATTGTTCTAAGTGATACTGGGGAGTAAGCACTTGGCTGTGTGCTGGAAACATAGTAGTGAATAAGGTTCTCATAGAGTTTACACTCTAGAAATAGGCAATATGCAGATAAAGCAGGAAATATGTTTTGTATTTTACAATGTAGACGGGAAGATAGTAGCCAAGTATTTCATTACAAATTGTGATAATTAAAAAAGAAACAAAGGTACCTGAATAGAGAATGAGGGCAGTGGGGTCCTGATTAGGAAAGATATCTGAAAAACTCTCTGCAATGACTTCAGCTGGAGGTGAGGGTGGTCTGAGTGCTCCAAGTAAGGGAAGTAACAGATGCTGAGACCCTGAAGCAGGAAATCAGTTCAGCAGGTTCCAGAACAGAAAGGAAACCAGCCAACCAGAGGCGCGTAGTGGGGGAGAAGGCAGAAATAAGAGCTGTAAAGTAGAAGGCTCTCCGCATAACTTACCTTATTAACAACCACTGCTTTACCTTAATTATTACTCTTGCAACAGAATTGTTTTCTAATACTTTTTATTGCAACTGTGCAGAAATGAACATTACAGGTAAATGAACTTTTTCTTACTGTTTACAAAAGCGTTTCCATGGCAAAAGGGGTCCAGCTTTTACCAAATTTATTTATAGGGTCCTTACAGCTCTATCTTAAACTCTCTTAAGCCCTATTATTAACTGAAGTGGCCTGTGTTGTCCAGAGAAGTGCATTTGGGGAACACACTGACTTGGGGGCGGAGGTTCTCTGGGACACTGGCTGGCGAAGATTCCTCTCTCTAGCTGCCGGCCGGACGCTGGAGTGTAAAATCAACTATCAATTGATGAGCTGAAAGAAGTGAAAACATGACCCGCGTTAATGATGTCCTCAGGCTCTTTTCCAGTTACTGGCAGGAAAGTGTCGTCTTTAGGGGCAGCTAATAAAACCCCAAAGTGCCAAATGTGTCTTGGCTCCAGTCATGTTGACCAGCCATGCACTGTCCCGTCACCTTGGTCTGGCGCCTTAAATTAGGAGCCCGGCTTGGGTAGGACGAGACCTGTAGGGTCTGTATTCCATGGGTAGCGCAGCTTCACCACCCGCGCACTGGACGGGGTGGAGTTTCTGCTCATTTCTGCTTTCTCTCCCCTTCCCCGGCCCTCCGCATGGAGAGTATCGGCTGCACACCCCATCTCGGCAGGCTGCACATTCACACAAACATCGCTCCCACTTTTACATGCTCAGTTGCAGTGTGCCTGTCCATCCAGGGTCGCTCGGTGCTCCGAAATGGGCGAGGCGCGCACCCCGCTCCGTGCACAGCGCGGTGCCGGCCCCGAGTTTAATCACACAGTGTCCGGCTTCCTGTCCTCATCCCCCCCTCCCGCTGCGTTTCCCTTGCCCCTCCCTCTCCCCAGGCCGATCCGCCCGCCCGCTCCCCCTCCCCCGATCCCTCGGGTCCCGGGATGGGGGGGCGGTGAGGCAGGCACAGCCCCCCGCCCCCATGGCCGCCCGTCGGAGCCAGAGGCGGAGGGGGCGCCGGGGGGAGCCGGGCACCGCCCTGCTGGCCCCGCTAGTGCTGGGCCTGGGCCTGGCGCTGGCCTGCCTCGGCCTCCTGCTGGCCGTGGTCAGCCTGGGGAGCGGGGCATCGCTGTCCGCCCAGGTGAGGCCCTGCTGCACACCCCTCCCTGGGCAGATGGGGAGCGGATCCTGCGGAGCAGCTGATGGGGCCGGGTGGGCTGAGGGTGGAGGGTGACATGTCAGGTGGAGGAGGACAGGGTGACGCTGCCTCCTTCCCAGCAGGAGCCTTCCCAGGGGGAGCTGGTGGCAGAGGAGGACCAAGATCTGTTGGTGAGTGAGTGTGGGTGCTGTCTGCCGGCTGCTGGGCATGGGAGGAGTGTGTGAGCGGAGGGTGCAGGGTGTGCCTTGGCTGGGCCAGCTGTGTGTGCACCAGCTGTGTGTGGGTAAGAGAGAAAAAGGTTAACAACTGTGTGTGTAAGGGCTTTGCGCCGGGTTTGTGTCACCTGAGCACAAAGTGTTCATTGGCTGCTGGCGAAGTGGGAGTGTGGGCATGGGAGACTGAGGTGGAAGAGGGATGCTGGCTGTGCGTGCAGGGTGTGGGCGTGCGTGCCGTGTGCCAACTGTGTGCGGGGTCTGTGCTGGTTCTAGGGGGTGGCTGGGCTCAGCAGGGCGTGGGGGTTGGGGCCTGACCCTGGAACCTTGCCTCCCCGGGGCCCCAGCCACTCTTGCCTGGGGGGCTTGGTCCCTCCCTAAGGCTTCTGTGTCAGTTGCTGGTGGTGCCTCTCCTGATGGGCCCCCTGTCGGTCTGTGATGCCTCTGGGAGTCCCTGACAAGACCCTGGTTTAGCCCTGCCCTTAATTCTCCTAGGAACTGAATCCACAGACCGAGGAAAGCCAAGATCCTGTGGTGCCTTTCCTGAAACGACTAGTTCGGGCTCGCAGAAATGGTGAGCACCCCTTAATCCCAATTCAGGAATAATAATAGTGGCTGGTCTCTGGTGACTTCTGGACTCATTATTGCTTTTGTTCATCATAACAGCCCCATAGGAGTGAGAAGAACAAAAAATCCTTATCCTCACTTATGGATGGAGAAACTGAGGCACAGAGAGTAAAGGGGGGGCTCAGAGTCATGTAGATAACCTGTAGAAACTCAAACCTGGAATTTTGACCCTATCTCTGAAATTCCTTCCATCACATGGACCTGCTTCTAATTCAGACCCTACCCCAAATATGAAAGAGGGATGGCTAGGAGTTGGGAGAACTCCTGGGGTCCTAATGGAGATAAGGTGGGGGAGTCAAGAGGCCTGAGACTCAGTAAGCAAAAAGACTTAAGCATGGGATGACCATGTGACCAGACACCAGGGTTGCATGAGACTGTCCTGGCTTACCACGGCTATCTTAGTGTGGTTATTAATAGCACTGTTGCTCTCAGAAGCCTCCCAGTTTGGATGATAAATTATATAGTCACTCTGCTCATGGAGGAAGATAAGGTCTGAGGTGCTGAGGCCAGGAGTCTGGGCAAGAATAAGGATGCTTAGGTTCTGAAAGGGGAATGGTTCTGAGGGAGTGGCTTCTGGCCACCCTGATGGTTGGGGGCGGGGCTGCTTTGCCCATCTGTTTTTCCTTGATTCTCAGCACCTAAAGGACGGAAAACACGGGCTCGCAGAGTGATTGCAGCCCACTATGAAGGTGGGTGATGGTGAGCCATGCCCAGGGAGGTGGGGTGGCAGGGGGCAAGGCAGGCCTTACCAACCCTTTCCTGTGTCTTGCAGTTCACCCACGGCCAGGACAGGATGGAGCACAGGCGGGTGAGACCCCCATCCCCACATCTGAGCCCTCCCTGGACCCCCACAGCACTGCCTCCTGGAAGGGGGCTCTCCAAACCTTCACTTCCAGCCCTGCTCTCTGCCTTCAGCCTTGGAAGCCTCTAAGCAAGTTCAGGAAAGTTCTCAGGGCTTGGTTCTCTCTGCTCCAAGACACAGACTTTCTCTGTGATTCAGGCATAGTACTCCTCCTCTGCTCCCAGAACCCTGGGGCACCAAATCACCAGCTCCACTTCCCCTTCAGCCCTCACTCTGCTCCAAGAAGCATCCTTCATTCTTTCTTTCCCCTCCATATTCCACAAGTCTTCATGCTCTGATCAGTTCTCTCAAAATGTTTCTAGTCTCTGCAGTTCTTTTCCATCCCTCTCCTACCTCCCACTGAGCACCAGGACCTCAGAACCTCAAACCCAGTCTCTAGCGCTGTCTCCATTCCACAGTCTCCCCTCCCCTCTGCTTTGTCCCACCTGTGTTAACAAGCTAAGCCCCACAAACCTCTTTCATGATCCCATTGCTTCTCTGTGTTGCTTCCTGCCTCTTTCCCCTGCATACTCTTGTGTAGTCTCCATATTTTTGGGCTGACATCCTTTCCAACCAATGTGACTCTTCTGGACTTTGAACCTACTGTTTCCTCTCCTGGAATGTCCTTCCATGTGATATGCCAAGAGGCAAGACATGAGGGTGGCTTGGTCTAGGTGGCCGGCAGCAGACATGGACATAATTAGATGGATTCAGCCTTTGAAGAGAGCACTTGCTTGTGCATTGGATGGTCAGGACAAGGGAATAGGAGGAATCAGAAATGACTTCTAGATTTTTAACTTGGGCAGGTTTGGGAATAGTGACACCACTTACTAAGATGGGGTTAAGCAGGGAAGAAATAGGATGGGAGGTGTGTAAAAATTTAACTTTGAGATCTAACAGTAAATAAGTGGCAAATAATAATAAACAAGTGAGTTCCACAAATAGATGGCTGGACACTGCAGACTAGCTCAGGCTAGGTCAGGACACATAAAGCCAGGGTCATGGCCATAGGGATGGTATTTAAAGCTATAGGATTGAATGAGACACCAGGAGAAAGAAGGGCCCCAAGAGCAAAGCTTGGAGGTTCGTGGACATCTAGAGGTGGAGCAGAGGAAGAAGATCCATCAGAGAGTGAGAAGCAACCAGAGAGAAGGGAAGAAACCCAGGGAAGGTCCTGGAACCTAAGAGAAGACGGCTTCACGAAGGAGGGTGTGGCTGTCTGTGGTGAATGCAGCTGAGAGGTCATGTGAGATGAGATCAGAGAAATGACCACTGGGTTTGGTAATGTTAAAAGTCAACTGATGACCTTGACAAGGGCAGTTTCAGTGGTGTGGTCAGATGGAAGCTAGCTTGGATTGGGCTAGAAAAAATGGAATATAGGAATTGGAGACAGTGACAACCTTTTCCAGAAGTTTCTCTGGGACAGAAGCAGAGAAATGGGCTAGTAGGTGGAGGGTGATGTGGATCAAACAAAAGTTCAGTCCTTTTAGCAATAAGCAATACCACATGAATCTTAGCTAAACAGTTGTTGGGTGTTTAATCTCATCTAATCCTTGCAACAGTTCTAAAAGGAAGATACTCTGATCATCTCTGTTTCACAGATGGAGGTTACTTAACTTGTCAGAAGTTATGACAATACTGAGTGGGGGAGCCAGGATTTGAACCCAGCTAGAGTGTACTGTGTACTAGACATGGTCTGTGTGAGAGGTGATCACTGGTGAGGGTCAGAAGAACCTGCAGGGCACCGTCCAAGAAGGTGGGAGGGGATGGGCTCCAGATAAGAGAGGGACAGAGCATCCTGTTATTCAAAGAGGGTCAATGGAGAACATTGTGTAAGGGAGCCCTTGCTGATGACTATTAGGTCCTCTGTAGAATGAAGGAGATAGGGGCAGAGGTCTGAGGAGAGATAGTACAAAATCCTTGTCTTGGTGAGTGCAAAAGTAAGCTTATAGTGGGGAAAGTAAGAGAATTGCCAGGCAGTAAGGAATGTCCATTTGAGGTCTGTGGTTGTGCAACTGATTGACACCATGGTCCTGGGCGCACCATGACCTTAGGCACAGCCTTCCTGCCTTCGCCCTGGAAGCCCATAAGCCAGCTCAGGAAAGTTCTCAGTGCTTGGTTCTCTCTGCTTCCAGACATGGACTTTCTCTGTGACCCAGGCATGGGACTCCAGGCAGTTTGCTCAAGCAGGTTCTGGAGCCAGGAATGCCCTCCCTCTTTCTCTGCCCCTACTTTTCAGGCCCCAGGCCATCCTTCCTCTCTCTGTGTGGACCACTTATTCTACAAGTTACCCAGACATTCATTCATTCATTGGCTGAACACACATGTACTACACATCAGGCTAGGTGCCCACAGTGAATAATACCCAGACCTATTTTCAAGGCATTCTTTCTAGAAGAGGAGACAAGCATATAAATTATAAATTGCAGTATGCTAAGAAAAGAACAATAATGCAAGTAGCCAGACATACATGTGGCACAGAGGAAGACAATTTTACAACAGAGTCAGGGACTCCTTCCCCAAGAAGGTGTGGGAGTTGAAGCAGGAGTGTGAGATGGACAAGGGGTCAAGGATGTTCCAGGTAGAAGGAATCACTCACACAAAAGCCCTTAGTTCACTAAGATGTAATGAGGCTGGGGGATGGTAAGAAGCTTGGTGTGGCTGAAGGACAAAGTGCTAGAGGACAGGGTGGGGCATGAGGCTGGAGAAAATATGGGAGCCAGGCCACAAAGGAAATCTATGTGGCTCTTAGTATGAGGTCAAAGCAGGGAGAGGCAGGCTCACTTGTGCATGTTAGAAACATCACTCTGTGGCTATCAGTAGGGAATAAACCGGAGCAGGCAAGATTGGAAATCGGGAGTCCAACAAGGAAGCAGGCCAAGAAGGGTCCCAGGAGAAGTGGCAAAGGCCAGACTGGAGGTCTCAGGACCAAGCTATTTAGGTGGCAGAATCAATGGGAACTGGTGATTGGGAAATACAGTTGGTGAAGGAGAGGGAGTCTCGGGTGCCCGGCTGGAGGAAAATATGCGCTAAGTGTGGAATGAAGACAGGAAAGCAAGTTTAGGATGGAGGCCCATGCTTCATTTTGGTCAGGATGAGTTGAGGTGCCCTGGGGCTATTCCGATGGCAGCTGTGAGCAGGGTGCGGAGGAGCAGGAACCCGCAGGGCTGGAGATTCAGATGGAGTCTGCAGGGTAAAGGCTGAGGTAACCTATAGGTGGGAATAAAAATGCCCAGAAAACAGTTTGTTTTCCTTGAGAAGGTAGCAAGGACAGAGCCCTGGGGCTGGCAGAGGATGAGAGACTGGGGAAGGCAGCTGCGAGGCTGCTGAGATGCAGCCAGTGAGGCCCAGGAGAGCGGTCTGTGAGTCTGAAGAGAGAATGCAGGCCATGTTTGCCTCTTTCCCGCTGTCTTCCCACTGGTGTTTGCCAGGTGCTCACTCAGAGCAGGCCCAGACCCAGGTGCCGGGATACAGTGGTGGATAAGACCATTGTCCCTGCCCTCTTTGGGGAGTCAGACCCCAAATTATCACATACATCAATAAAGCAGACAATTTCCCACGTTGGTGACTGCTCTGAAAGACACAGGTTGCATACTGAAGAGATTAACGGAGGCAGGGAGGGGACTGGCTATTTGAAACTGGGTAGGCCAGGAGTGTCTCTGTGTTGAGACGTTCCCATTGCTTCTCTGTGTTGCTTCCTGCCTCTTTCCCCTGCATACTCTTGTGTAGTCTCCATATTTTTGGGCTGACATCCTTTCCAACCAATGTGACTCTTCTGGACTTTGAACCTACTGTTTCCTCTCCTGGAATGTCCTTCCATGTGATATGCCAAGAGGCAAGACATGAGGGTGGCTTGGTCTAGGTGGCCGGCAGCAGACATGGACATAATTAGATGGATTCAGCCTTTGAAGAGAGCACTTGCTTGTGCATTGGATGGTCAGGACAAGGGAATAGGAGGAATCAGAAATGACTTCTAGATTTTTAACTTGGGCAGGTTTGGGAATAGTGACACCACTTACTAAGATGGGGTTAAGCAGGGAAGAAATAGGATGGGAGGTGTGTAAAAATTTAACTTTGAGATCTAACAGTAAATAAGTGGCAAATAATAATAAACAAGTGAGTTCCACAAATAGATGGCTGGACACTGCAGACTAGCTCAGGCTAGGTCAGGACACATAAAGCCAGGGTCATGGCCATAGGGATGGTATTTAAAGCTATAGGATTGAATGAGACACCAGGAGAAAGAAGGGCCCCAAGAGCAAAGCTTGGAGGTTCGTGGACATCTAGAGGTGGAGCAGAGGAAGAAGATCCATCAGAGAGTGAGAAGCAACCAGAGAGAAGGGAAGAAACCCAGGGAAGGTCCTGGAACCTAAGAGAAGACGGCTTCACGAAGGAGGGTGTGGCTGTCTGTGGTGAATGCAGCTGAGAGGTCATGTGAGATGAGATCAGAGAAATGACCACTGGGTTTGGTAATGTTAAAAGTCAACTGATGACCTTGACAAGGGCAGTTTCAGTGGTGTGGTCAGATGGAAGCTAGCTTGGATTGGGCTAGAAAAAATGGAATATAGGAATTGGAGACAGTGACAACCTTTTCCAGAAGTTTCTCTGGGACAGAAGCAGAGAAATGGGCTAGTAGGTGGAGGGTGATGTGGATCAAACAAAAGTTCAGTCCTTTTAGCAATAAGCAATACCACATGAATCTTAGCTAAACAGTTGTTGGGTGTTTAATCTCATCTAATCCTTGCAACAGTTCTAAAAGGAAGATACTCTGATCATCTCTGTTTCACAGATGGAGGTTACTTAACTTGTCAGAAGTTATGACAATACTGAGTGGGGGAGCCAGGATTTGAACCCAGCTAGAGTGTACTGTGTACTAGACATGGTCTGTGTGAGAGGTGATCACTGGTGAGGGTCAGAAGAACCTGCAGGGCACCGTCCAAGAAGGTGGGAGGGGATGGGCTCCAGATAAGAGAGGGACAGAGCATCCTGTTATTCAAAGAGGGTCAATGGAGAACATTGTGTAAGGGAGCCCTTGCTGATGACTATTAGGTCCTCTGTAGAATGAAGGAGATAGGGGCAGAGGTCTGAGGAGAGATAGTACAAAATCCTTGTCTTGGTGAGTGCAAAAGTAAGCTTATAGTGGGGAAAGTAAGAGAATTGCCAGGCAGTAAGGAATGTCCATTTGAGGTCTGTGGTTGTGCAACTGATTGACACCATGGTCCTGGGCGCACCATGACCTTAGGCACAGCCTTCCTGCCTTCGCCCTGGAAGCCCATAAGCCAGCTCAGGAAAGTTCTCAGTGCTTGGTTCTCTCTGCTTCCAGACATGGACTTTCTCTGTGACCCAGGCATGGGACTCCAGGCAGTTTGCTCAAGCAGGTTCTGGAGCCAGGAATGCCCTCCCTCTTTCTCTGCCCCTACTTTTCAGGCCCCAGGCCATCCTTCCTCTCTCTGTGTGGACCACTTATTCTACAAGTTACCCAGACATTCATTCATTCATTGGCTGAACACACATGTACTACACATCAGGCTAGGTGCCCACAGTGAATAATACCCAGACCTATTTTCAAGGCATTCTTTCTAGAAGAGGAGACAAGCATATAAATTATAAATTGCAGTATGCTAAGAAAAGAACAATAATGCAAGTAGCCAGACATACATGTGGCACAGAGGAAGACAATTTTACAACAGAGTCAGGGACTCCTTCCCCAAGAAGGTGTGGGAGTTGAAGCAGGAGTGTGAGATGGACAAGGGGTCAAGGATGTTCCAGGTAGAAGGAATCACTCACACAAAAGCCCTTAGTTCACTAAGATGTAATGAGGCTGGGGGATGGTAAGAAGCTTGGTGTGGCTGAAGGACAAAGTGCTAGAGGACAGGGTGGGGCATGAGGCTGGAGAAAATATGGGAGCCAGGCCACAAAGGAAATCTATGTGGCTCTTAGTATGAGGTCAAAGCAGGGAGAGGCAGGCTCACTTGTGCATGTTAGAAACATCACTCTGTGGCTATCAGTAGGGAATAAACCGGAGCAGGCAAGATTGGAAATCGGGAGTCCAACAAGGAAGCAGGCCAAGAAGGGTCCCAGGAGAAGTGGCAAAGGCCAGACTGGAGGTCTCAGGACCAAGCTATTTAGGTGGCAGAATCAATGGGAACTGGTGATTGGGAAATACAGTTGGTGAAGGAGAGGGAGTCTCGGGTGCCCGGCTGGAGGAAAATATGCGCTAAGTGTGGAATGAAGACAGGAAAGCAAGTTTAGGATGGAGGCCCATGCTTCATTTTGGTCAGGATGAGTTGAGGTGCCCTGGGGCTATTCCGATGGCAGCTGTGAGCAGGGTGCGGAGGAGCAGGAACCCGCAGGGCTGGAGATTCAGATGGAGTCTGCAGGGTAAAGGCTGAGGTAACCTATAGGTGGGAATAAAAATGCCCAGAAAACAGTTTGTTTTCCTTGAGAAGGTAGCAAGGACAGAGCCCTGGGGCTGGCAGAGGATGAGAGACTGGGGAAGGCAGCTGCGAGGCTGCTGAGATGCAGCCAGTGAGGCCCAGGAGAGCGGTCTGTGAGTCTGAAGAGAGAATGCAGGCCATGTTTGCCTCTTTCCCGCTGTCTTCCCACTGGTGTTTGCCAGGTGCTCACTCAGAGCAGGCCCAGACCCAGGTGCCGGGATACAGTGGTGGATAAGACCATTGTCCCTGCCCTCTTTGGGGAGTCAGACCCCAAATTATCACATACATCAATAAAGCAGACAATTTCCCACGTTGGTGACTGCTCTGAAAGACACAGGTTGCATACTGAAGAGATTAACGGAGGCAGGGAGGGGACTGGCTATTTGAAACTGGGTAGGCCAGGAGTGTCTCTGTGTTGAGACGTCACTGACAGAAGGTGCCAGGTTGGGGAGAGAGCTCTGGGAGTAGGAAACAGCAGTGAAAAGTTGTTGGACAACCAGCATGCTGTGTGGCAGGGACAGAAAGGCCAGGGCGGCTGGAGGCTGGTGAGTTGGACGGATGTCAGATTAGATGGGAGAGGACAGTGCCGATCTGCGCAGGACCCGGGAGACCACTCAAGGTTCTGCTCTGTCATTTTATTGTTTTATTATATTTATGTTTATTGTCATTTTATCATCTTCTTTGCAAATGGCAATTACCCTAGCCCTAGACATATTTATGTTTTGGTAACAGCTTCACTGAGATACACTGCACATAACATACAATTCACCCATTTAAAGTGTACAATTCAGTGGTTTTTAGTATATCCCCCCAGTTGTGCAGCCATCACTACAGTAATTTTAGAACATTTTCATCACCTCAGAAATTCTGTACCCTTTAGCCATCGCCCCTATTTCCCCCACTTCTCCCAGCTCTAAGCAACCACTCATCTACTTCCATCTCCCTATATGTTTACTGGACATTTCATAGAAATCACACAGTGTGTGGTCCTCTGTGACTGGCTTCTTTCACTAAGCATGTTTTCAATGTTCATCCACATTGTAGCATTTCTTTTCATGGCTGAATAATATCCCATTGTATGGATATACCACCATGCTCCTTATCTTTCCATTCATCAGTTGATGAACATTGAGTACCACTTTATTATTTTCAATTTTAATAATCTATTGTATGATTTAGGTACTGTATGCATATATTCTCAAAGTAAAGATGCAAATAATACACAAAATATAATAAGCTCCCATGCTTCTCCAGTCCTGCTCTTTTTGGCAGATGTGGCTGGTGACAAGTTGCCCTGTATTGTTCTGGTCATATGCATTGGGTTTCTTCACGTAACTTCCTATTGCACCCTGAGCTCTGTAGGCCATGGCTCCTCCCTGCCCTGGGCTGTCTGTATATCTTCTGGGTAAGGCCAGTCCCAAAGGTTTATGAACTCAGTAGACCCATGGGGAGTGTGAGAAAGTCCTGTAAAGGGACTTTCCCCTATCTCTGAACATCCACATTCAGGTGTGGACGGGACGGTGAGTGGCTGGGAGGAGGCCAAAATCAACAGCTCCAGCCCACTGCGCTATGACCGCCACAGCGGGGAATTTATAGTCACCCGGGCTGGGCTCTACTACCTGTATTGTCAGGTAAGCCCCACCTGGCTCCACAGGTAAAGCAGGAACTTAGAGAGAAGGGTTTCGTTTAGTGGGTGGGGGGCAAGGTAAATGTGGGAGGGGGAGTTTGGGATTTGGGCTGGATAGGATACCTGAGTCTCCAAGAAAGTTTAAAATTGAGTCCAGGTAAGCAGAGGCCTGGACTTTGCCCACCCTCTCCCCACCTTCCCCACCTCCCACCCTGTCCTCACCCCCTGCCTCACCCCCACCGTCCCCTCAGGTGCACTTTGATGAGGGGAAGGCTGTCTACCTGAAGTTGGACTTGCTGGTGGACGACACCCTGGCTCTTCGCTGCCTGGAAGAGTTCTCAGCCACGGCAGCAAGTTCCCTCGGGCCCCAGCTCCATCTCTGCCAGGTGTCTGGGCTGCTGCCCCTGCGGCCAGGGTCCTCCCTGCGGATCCGCACCCTCCCCTGGGCCCACCTCAAAGCTGCCCCTTTCCTCACCTACTTCGGACTCTTCCAGGTTCACTGAGGGGCCCTGGTCTTGGTGGATTTCCCAGGCCAGGGCTGCCCAGACAGCTCTCCAGCACCCGGGTCTCCTCAGCCTCACCCTAGGCTGCTCCTCCCCCCCAGGCCCACCCCTCCCTCTGTAGGCTGCCAGGGCTTTTGTGCATGTGTTTTCCATGCCACATAAATATCCCCATTCTCCTGACAACTCCCCCCACCTCTGACTCTCCACCTCACTAGCACCCAAACCCTATTTTTCGACGCCTCATTTATCTCCTGACTCCCCTGGCCACAGCCCCCAGGACACTGTTTACTGTACTCTGGGTGAGGATGGGTCCCCAGTACCCCTCTTCAGGCACTAAGAGAGGCTGGGTCTAGGCCAGGAGTTCCCGAATGTGAGGGCTAAGAGGACAGACAAGCTCTGCTCCTGATAATTCCCTGTGTATTTTTTTTTTAAAAGGCCCTGCCTGCAGGCTAAGTGCGGGAAGGGGGAGCAATGACGGGAGGGGATGGGAAGCTGAGGGCGGGCTGCATTTTCCCTGTGGATTTTAAAAACAGATATTATTTTTATTATTATTGTGACAAAATGTTGATAAGTGGATATTAAAGAGAATAAGTCATGGTCTCTCTCTTTATTGGGGCTTAGGGAACATGCTCAGGGTAGCTGAGGGCCACGGGAAGCGGGTTTGGGCATTGGGGAGTGGGGTGCAGGGCACCTGGAATTCCAGGGTGACACACAGGCTTAGAAGTGGGGACCCATATGGCTCTAACCCCTGAGGCATGAATAGAGAATGGAAAGGCAAACGCCAGGAAAAAAATCAATCCTCTGCCCAAGGTCCAGCAGAAGCAGCCTCATTTACCTAGGAGGCGGGCTTCCTCCTGCGGGGAATCCCTGGCTGGGAAGAGCAGGGGCCCTTCCTCTTGGCAGCGTCAGGACATTCAGCAGGTGCTGGCACAAGCCCTGGCTGGGATGTGGGGTGGGAGCAGGCCTGGAGGGGGCTCAGGCTCAGAAAGCAGGATGCTGGAGCCCAGGAACATGGTAGCCTGGGCCCCTGGGTCCAGGGGCGGAATCATACAGTGGTAGGGTGCTTGGGGCTTCTCTTTCTGTCTTTGTCCAGAGCCTTATGTAAGAGTGTTTCTCGGGAAACAGGAAGTCCAGCTTGCCAAGTTCAGCACAAGGAGCAGTGCCGGCCTTATTCCAACACACCCGGCCTGGCCTTAACCCCAGAGCTCAGCCAGTTTCTTGCTTCCCCCACCATGGTTCTCCTCCCCACTGAGCCCCTCCCCTCCTTTCCCACCTTCAGTCACTCCTAGCAAACCTGCCCAGAGATCTCTCCTGTGCCTCATTGAGAGGGTCTTACACCCTCACCTCTTGACCCTCAACACTGCCTGGCTGTCCCTTCATCCCTGCTCCTGGCACCATGCCCACAGCCAGCTAACCTTCCCTCCCCCACTTCTGGGGCCGCCCAAGGGTTCCTGTGCTCTGGCCGCTCCTCCTGGGTGTCACTGGCAGCCCTGTCCTTCCTAGAGAGACTGACAACAAATTCGCCTGAGGCTGGAGTTGGGGGGAAGGTGTCTCAAGACAACACTGGCCCCACAGCAGGGTGCCAGGAGCACCAACAGTGCCCCTAGCTTGCTTTCCTCCTCCCTCCTTTTTATTCTGAAGTTCCTTTTTATTTCTCCCTTGCGTAACACCCTTCTTCCCTTCTGCAGCACTGCCTGCACCCCCACCCTCCCCGCCACCTCCTTGCCACCCCATTCCTGAGGCCACAGCTGTTGGCAGGGTCCCTGGCTCATGCCAGCCTCATCTTCTTCCTTGCTAGCTCCCAAAGGGCCCCCGGGAGACATGGGGGGCCCAGTTCGAGAACCGGCGCTCTCAGTTGCCCTCTGGTTGAGTTGGGGGGCAGCTCTGGGGGCTGTGGCTTGTGCCATGGCTCTGCTGACCCAACAAACAGAGCTGCAAACGCTAAGGAGAGAGGTGACCTGGCTGCAGAGAACTGGAGGGCCCTCTGAGAAGGGGGAAGAGTATCCATGGCTGCACCTCCGGGAGCAGGTGAGTGAGGGGAAAAGGGTATCTGCAAGAGGAGAATGGTGGCAGGGCCTTGTCTGGGCCTCTTGGTCCCAGGCTCCTGGTCTGCAAAATTTCAAGTCAGGGCAAGAGAGGGTCCCAGGTTTGGAGGTCAAGGGAGCAGCCATTCCAGGAAAGGGAATTGTTAAAGATTAATGCTTCTTGTACCTCATAGATCCTGGAGGACAGCCAGCGCCAAGACTCAGGTCGCTGGGGAGTGGTGCATGAAAGATGCAAGGCATTCCTGGGTGGTGGTGCGCAGGGGAAGCAGGACTGGGGACAAAGGCTGTCTGGGACCCTTGCATCTTAGCCTAACCCCGCCCCTCTTTCCATAAGCAGAGCCCTGATGCCCTGGAAGCCTGGGAGAATGGGGAGAGACCCCGGAGAAGGAGAGCATTGCTCACCCATAAACAGAGGAGTGAGGCCTCGGGATTCGGCAGCAGGGGTGGGAGGTGATCACATAGCCAGGGATTTGGAGACTGTTAGCTGGAGCCAGGATGAGGGTGGAGGGCTAACAACAGGGTTACTGGAATAGATGGGCACTGCTGAGACTTCCTCCTTCTCTCCTCAGAGAGGCACTCAGTTCTGCACCTTGTTCCCATTAACATCACTTCCAAAGGTGAGCACTATTTTAAATAATGGCTTTTTGAGGAGGGCAAGATCTGGGAACTTTGGGGCTGGCACCTGGGCCCAAGAGAATCTCAGAGGTGAGAAGTACCTGAGAGGGCATGGAAATCCTGACTGGCACACTCCTCACCTCCAGAGGACTCTGATGTGACAGAGGTGATGTGGCAACCAGCTCTTAGGCGTGGGAGAGGCCTGGAGGCCCAAGGATATGTTGTTCGAGTCTGGGATGCTGGAGTTTATCTGCTGTACAGCCAGGTAACCCCAAATATAGAGACACACATGGGGGCTTGGAGGCCTGTTCTCCCAGAGCCTGGATGCCCCAGTACTGAGGGTTTCCTACCCCTCTGCTCATACCACTTAGAAGACCCTTCTTCATTTCTTGGCTCCCTTAGCAGGACTCCAAAGGCCTCCCAGAAGCCATGTCACCCTGTTTTCCTCAGCCTCTCCTCCCTTCCCTCCAGGTCCTGTTTCATGATGTGACTTTCACCATGGGTCAAGTGGTGTCTCGGGAGGGCCAGGGAAGACAAGAGACTCTATTCCGATGTATACGAAGTATGCCTTCCAACCCAGACTGGGCCTACAATAGCTGCTACAGTGCAGGTGAGAGCCTTGGAAGCACTGGAGGGTGGATGTTAGAAGAGCAGGACATCTGTAATTTGGGGGATTACGGGGAAGCTATGACAGGGGATTGCAAGCTGGAAGCCTGGGTGTAGGGGGTGCGTGAAGGACAGAATACTTAGGTCCTTCCAGGAAGCAGAAAAAAGGTTGAGCTGCAGAGGGGAGGGTGAAACATCAGAGAATCTGCATGGTTGTGCTTAACTGAGTATCCATTTTCTCCCTTTTTTCAGGTGTCTTCCACTTACACCAAGGGGATATTCTGAGTGTCATAATCCCCCGGGCAAGGGCAAAACTTAGCCTCTCTCCACATGGAACCTTCCTGGGGTTTGTGAAACTGTGATTGTGCTATAAAAGGTGGTTCTGAGCTTGGAAGAACAGGGTGGGTACGTACTGGAGACAGCCAAGAGCTGGCTAGGCAAAAGACAGGGAGTGGGGCAGGAACAGAGGCCTCTTCTAAGTTTTGACTGAAACCCTCAGTTTGACAGTTCATGATTCTCCGTTCCTCCCTTTTTCCTTTCCACCATAAACCCCTAGACTTTGATTTCATGATATTAAAGAGGTAGAATACCTTGCTTTTACCCCCAATCCCGCCCTGAATTCTTGATGAGGAGGGAACAGAAGAGAATGCCAGGCATAGTCTAGATCTACTTTGGGTCCCACTGGAATGCTTCCAGAACAGCACCACCATCTAGCGGCAGTTTGAGAGAATCATCCTGCCTGTGGGCAGAAGTCAATAAAGTCTACCCCCACTTAGGAAACCCCGTGTGCCCTATACCACGTCTGTCTCCAAAGACCCTCTACCCCTTCACCCCACAAGAAGCCTCATCTCGCTTTCCTCTCTCCATCTGTTGGCCCCAGTTTCCGTCACTGTCTCCAGAAGTGTATTTATTATGCGCCCATCTGCAGGGAGTGCCCGACGACAACCATCCCTTTTGCAGCCACATTATTCCTCGGATCTCAACGCCTTTAATGCTCTCCAGTCTCCTGGCAAGGCAAGGCCTGCCAAGCCCCTCTGAGCTGGGACGGGCCGCCGGGGAGCCTTGGATGAATCGTTCACCGATGTTGGTCTTGCCTCACTCTGAGCTCTTCTTTCTGCTCGAGCCCTGCTTAAATTAAATAAAATAGAATAAATGATACCTCAGATTCATTTCCCCCACTGCCTTGCCTCAGGTGCGTCCCTGTACCGGGATCTCCCCCGCCCCGGGGTCTCTGGTGCGCCTCACCAGGCTCTGACTTCGGGGCTTGGGTGCTCAGGCCCGTCAGCTCAGAGAAGGGCTGAGCGGCGGGCGTGAAGTGGCTTGGGATACGCAGGCGCAAAAGGTTGCGTGGTTCGTGTCCGCGGATATGCGCAAGCGCAGCCCTGCGCGAGGCTCGGGGGCGGAGCAGACCCCTGGAGTCTACATTCTTGAGTAGGCGGAACTAGGCGCGTGGTGGCCGCGCCGGCGCTGTTCGCCGGGTGTGACGCACTAATTCTGCGCCGCCATCGCCGGTGGGCCTGGGGCTCGCGGGAGGGGAAGGAGGAGGAGGAGGAGGGGTTGGTCGTGGAGGTGGAGGCTGAAGCAGAGCAAGAGGTGGCCGCGGCGGGGTGGCTCGGCGGCGCTGCGCGAGGCACAGAAGCGTTGGAATTCTAAACTGAGACGACTGCGCCCAAAGACAGCAGGAGTGGCGGGACCGCCGCCGTCGCCAGAGAGATGAGCCGGGAGGCCTGAGGCCTGAGGCCGGAGACGCCCGCCCTCAGGCCCGTCCGCCCGGCTTCCCCGCTCCCGGTGAGGACGCCCCTCCCCTCCCCCCAGCCCGGCCGCGGCCTCTCCCATTCCTGGATTTAACCGGGGCCCAAGGAAGCCCTCGAAGGGGCTTTTTAAGGCCCTTGCGCGCCGAGCCTTGCGAGCCTGTAGGACCATACCGGTTCTGGGACGCGTTCTGGTCCCGGGGGACTGAGCAGGAGAGACGGGGCTGGGCCAGCCTGACTCGCGCGGCTCAGTTATGACCCTGCGCCTTGATTCGGCTGCCTAAGCACCGATTCAGTTCTATGTAAGTGTTCCTTAAAATCTTACCTTTTTCATTAGACTCTACTACGCGAACCATAGCCCTGGCATTCCCATACCCTCGTGAGACGAGCTGAGCATGCCCACACTCATCCCTTTCATTCCAGGTGGTAGAGAACTCTGTCTCCCCTCTAGGCCACGGTTTCCTGTGGAAGTTGTATTCTCCTCAGGTGTCTTAGTAGCATTTCGGGATTCACCTGCTGAGCCATTTTATTTCCTTTATTGGGCTCTCAATTAGAACCACCCCTGTTGGTATTAAAATAGAGAAGAAGAACCTGCAAATTCTGTGTTTAACCTGGGGATCTGACAAGATTCCCCCAGGACTGTTGCTTAGATGGTCTCTCTTACCTGGTCTCTCTTACCTGGTCGGGAGAGAAAGGATGTGGCAGATTCTAAAGGGCCCCTTGTGGACTGTGTTGACTGGGAAGATTGGAAGTTAGGAGTTTGCGTTTTTTCCTTTTTCTTTCATTTATTTGTACCAGATTCCAGAGGAGGCATGCTGTGGAAGACAAGCAAGGTCTGAGATACAGCATGTTTGGATTCTGACACTAACGTTTGTTTTACAGGCTACTGGAAGATGAAAGAGACTATACAAGGAACTGGGTCTTGGGGGCCTGAGCCTCCTGGACCTGGAGTAGCCCCAGCTTACTCAAGCCCCAGGCGGGAGCGTCTTCGTTGGCCCCCACCCCCCAAGCCCCGACTCAAATCAGGTGGAGGGTTTGGGCCAGATCCTGGGTCAGGGACCACAGTGCCAGCCAGACGCCTTCCTGTCCCTCGGCCCTCTTTTGATGCCTCAGCTAGTGAAGAGGAGGAAGAAGAAGAGGAGGATGAAGATGAAGATGAGGAAGAGGAAGTGGCAGCTTGGAGGTTGCCCCCCAGATGGGGTCAGCTGGGAGCCTCCCAGCGACCTCACCCTCCCCGCCCTACTCATCGAAAAACCTGCTCACAGCGCCGCCGCAGAGCTATGAGAGCCTTCCAGATGCTGCTCTACTCAAAAAGCACCTCGCTGACATTCCACTGGAAGCTTTGGGGGCGCCACCGAGGCCGGCGGCGGAGCCTCACACACCCCAAGAACCATCTTTCACCCCAAGAAGTGGGTGCGACATCACAGGTGCCATCCCCCTGCTGTCGTTTTGACTCCACCCGGGGGCCACCTCCACCCCGGCTGGGTCTGTTAGGTGCTCTCATGGCTGAGGATGGGGTGAGAGGATCTCCACCAATGCCCTCTGGGCCCCCTATGGAGGAAGATGGATTAAGGTGGACTCCAAAGTCTCCTCTGGACCCTGACTCTGGTAAGGTGGGAATGGGGTGGAGCAAGGGGTGGGAAGGAGCCTCTTGATGTAGTGAGAACTGAACCTAAGGAAGGTAGGATGCAGATTGAGGGGATCCAGAATATCTATGAAATATCTTAAGTCCCATTTTGAATAGGAGCTAAGGCTGGAGAGAGAGTCAAAAGCTGGGATATAGAATCCTTAAGGTAGGTGCTGTGCATAAATGAGAAAGGAAGACATGGTTTCGAAAAGTCTGACAGTCTTGTCCACTTGAAATCCGTCTTCAGTAGGCCTCAACATTAAGGGGCCCTGTGTGTACATCTCCAGAGGGTGTACACTGTTCTCATAGTGGTGGGCTAGGATCTGAGAAATGGAGTACATCACCAGTAAGGTGTGTGACACATTCTCACTCAGAATATTCCTCTTTTGGAGAACCCCAACTAAATTTCAGGCTTTCTCTGTCTTTACATAGTTATTCACGTATTTTTCAAGCCTTTGCTACATGCTGGATAGTATGCTCGGTGCTGGGCATATAGCAGTGACAATGAAGTTTACCTCTCTCTCAATCTTAGTCTTTTCTTGCTTTCCTCTTTGTCTATGAGTAGTGACTTTTTCTATTGCTTTATAATCTCTTGGACATTCTCTTCTCATGCTTTAGGGTTTCCATTCCTTAGAGTTTATATTGGTAGATTCTGTTTCAGTTTGTTCTTTGGCATTGTAATTTATGTGCATCATTTAATCTTCCCATTTTCTTTTGATCTGAGCCAATTTTTCATCCCTATTCTTTCTTCCCTGCCCTCAGGCCTTCTCTCCAGCACTCTGCCCAATGGCTTTGGGGGACCACCTGGGCCAGAAGGGGAGCGAAGTCTGGCACCCCCTGATGCCAGCATCCTCATCAGCAATGTGTGCAGCATCGGGGACCATGTGGCCCAGGAACTTTTTCAAGGCCCAGAATTGGGCACTGCAGAAGAGGCAGAGCGGCCTGGGGAGAAAGCTGGCCAGCATAGCCCCCTGAGGGAGGAGCATGTGACCTGTGTGCAGAGTAAGAAATCCTAGAAGACTTAGTCTCTTTCCACTGACTCCTGGTTCAGAGTCTGGAGACGTCACTCCACACCTCTTTCTTCCTCCACTCAGGTATCTTAGATGAATTCCTTCAAACATACGGCAGCCTCATCCCCCTCAGCACAGATGAGGTAGTAGAGAAATTGGAGGACATTTTTCAGCAGGAGTTCTCTACGCCTTCCAGGTGAGGCATGATGAAAGAGAGGCCCTTCAGAAGAGAGCTGGGACCTGGGGGATGGGGAGAGAATGCTGCTACCTTTTCTCCCATAGGGATGTACTTGGGGAGGAGGAGGAAGCTAGAAGTGAAGGGGAGGACTCTGTAGGCGAGGGGCCAAGTCCTTGTAAGCCAACTGGGAGGGTCTCTACCTGGGACCCTGAAATACTGTATATTCCTGAGTATTCATGTACCTGTTTCTGGGGAGTGGGCCTTTAGCAGGTCCTCAGAAGGACCCATGGCCAAAAAAAAGAAGGGTTAGTTTAGATTCTTATTCCAGGCAGTAGAAAGTACTTCTGTGTGCCCCAGCCCCCTCATCTCTTGTGTGACTCCACCCTTGGCCTACTCAGGAAGGGTCTGGTGCTGCAGTTGATCCAGTCATATCAGCGGATGCCGGGTAATGCCATGGTGAGGGGCTTCCGTGTGGCCTATAAGCGGCATGTGCTGACCATGGATGACTTGGGGACCTTGTATGGACAGAATTGGCTTAATGACCAGGTGAGGAGGAGTGGCCCAACAGGCCCAAGAGGGAATTCTGGGAGCAGGGTGTCTGGGGCCCTCTGCATGGGGGAGCCCTGTACCCATGCTGCACCCTCCATGGCAAGTCGTCTTCCATCTTCTCCCCAGGTGATGAACATGTATGGAGACCTGGTCATGGACACGGTCCCTGAAAAGGTAGGCCTGACCTTCAGTCCCCAGAAGAACTTCAGCAGTCCTACACTACTTTTTTAGTTGCTTTCATCTCTTCCATCTTACATAAACAGGGTCTTTGTGTCTGGGGAGAGGTGGTAGCAGGTATTCTAGAAGGTTAAATTCACATCTATAATCTTGGTCCTGAACTTAATGAATTCTGTTCTTTCCCTCTAGTCTTAAGTGTTTTCCCCGTATGGTTAACTCCACAAATTGGAATGGGAAGCTATAAGGTTAAAATCAATTTGTTTTTTATTCTCAGTGAATTGGAGTGGAGGTTGTTGAAACTGGTCTTTAGAGCTA